AGATTTGAAGAAAGATCACAAAGGGAAACCTCGTTGATAGAGACAACATAAGAGAAGAACTAAAAGAAAACTCATCTTAAAGAAGGATTTTCTCGAATGAGGAAGAATTTTAATTTTCCGGTACACCGAGGAGAACAAGAAGTCCTTAATACTGAACAGACATAATATTATAACCCTGCTTATTGATTTCTGTTCGCCAGAAAATTACAGCTTTTGGTGCTTTTTTCTGCTAGTAAATGAGACAACCCTAATAATCTAATATAGCAATATACGTGGTAGAAAAATGAAACAACCGCTTTTGTGAACCGAAAGACCATGTGTTATGTGTATTCAATTTAATTTCATATGCAAATTTACGCAATCAAGCCAGGTCAAGCTGATACGTACATTGTTCAAATACAATTAACATCACATAAATCCTGCCCTACGACTTAAGATCCATATAATATGGATCTAAAGTCGTGTATTACCCTGGCAAAAAGCGTATAAAATGACATCTCTTCGTCGTGTCTTTGGAAAGAAACCTAACAAATGTATTTTTAATTGTCACGCAATTCCCAAGACATTTTACGTAATACTCAGTCAAACTCTTAAAACCGAATGAAACTTGTTAAGACATGAACGATATTCGCAGTTATGTAAACAACTTTATCAGCTGTGAAATTAAAGCCTGAAAAAAATTCAGGTTGGAACGGGATTCAAACCCATGACCTCAAAGATACCGCTGCAGTGCTCTACCAACTGAGCTATCAAGCCAACTGAGAGCTGGGCACGTTGTGAGTTTTTAATATACCCGTAGATGGCGAAGAAACGAGTACCGTATATGGAAGATCATATATTTGAACTGCGGAGAAAGATATCAAAGCATGATTGATCGTCACAGTTATTTAAGCTTAACCGAATGAAATGTGTTTGTATGTATTTGAAAGGCTGTGCCTATATGACCGGCAGCTGGTCAAGGTTCTATAAAATAGACCAAATGACCGGCAGTGAGACTTTTTATGAAGTAAAACACCGTAAGAGACAGCCGACCCCAAGAGGAATCGAACCCAGGTCGCCCGCATGGAAAGCGATACTCATGACCACCGCGCCACCGAAACCGGCAGGCAGGTGTCGGAATTTTTTAAGTATATATTGTGTTACCCTTACCATTATTGAAAGCTAACCGTAAACAGGCTAACCAGAGCGCTATTCAGGCTAACCGGAGTTCTTTTTAGGCTAACCGGAGTGCTATTTAGCCTTAACTACTAAAAAAGTTTTGACTGCCGGTCATTTAACCTATTTAAAACCTCGACCGGCTGCCGATCATTTAGACACTTCGTATTTATAATGATGGAAGAACACAAAGGGTCTACTAAGCTACAGAGGTAAGGGTGATCAAACTTGTGTTTTAGCTCCACAACAAATTGCAAAACATCTTTTCAAGACCGCGAAGATTCGAGGTGAGGCTTGCTACTGAAAATCACAAATCAGCTAGCACATATAACTCCTGTCGGGGTGGCTCACTGTTAAAGCTCAATTTCGTCCCGGCGACATGGACTAAATTTACGTCAGTTCATATCTTTGACTGCAATTTGTTCCTCAATTTTCCGGTTCTTCAAGAATGTGAAGGCTTACACGGATACGTGTAACGAGGGGGGTATTTTTTCTCGCGGGCTTCGCGCGTTGTGTTTCCTCGTGCGCTTGGCTAAAGAGAAGCGACCCGTAATCTATTCATATGAAAAATCCACTTAAAACCTCCTTAGCTGCCCTCGGCTTCTTTGTTATACATCAGTGATATTCGGTGCAACCTCGATTTAACGAAGAGACTGGCAAAATATGTTCGCTATAACGAGGTTTCGTTGTATCGAGGTATTTTACTATTACTGGGACGAAGAATATCGTTCGTTACACCGAGGACTTCGAGATATAGAGGTTCGTTAAATCCAGGTTCCGCTGTGTACATGTAAGTGAATAACATGTCACGATTCTTATTAGCGTGATGGCCATTTGATTGACGGCCGATTTGTGTGGCTATTTTCGTCACGCCTCTTTGCGTATTTTTTATTTATGTGACGCCTGTTTTCGGTGAATGTATCACCAAATGTCAAGAACAATTTTTCAACGTAATACCGTGCGGCTGGCATGGAGGAGTAATGCGAAAGGAAGCATGAGAAGACCTTTATGTAGCTAGATAATTATGTACACGCTAACCTGTTGAGAAGGAGAGAGTTACTGTCTGCCGCTCTTTATCTTGTTCTGTTACCAGGTTGACGCTGTCTCTGGGCGATCTTACAGTTACAGTCAGCTCAAAAATCTAACACAAAGATTTTCTTCAGCTTTGGTCAAGCGAGGCTTCAGCAAAGATGACGTCCTGGCCATCTATCTCCCTAACGTATTAGAATACCCGATCATTTTCTATGGCGTGGCTTTTCTAGGTGGTGTATCAACAACAGTCAATCCATTATACTCGGCCAAGGAACTGGACCGGCAACTGCGAATCTCGGGAGCAAAATATGTCGTTACCATTCCTCCACTCGCGGAGAACGCAAAAGATGCTGCCGCTTCAACTGGCGTTGCCTCAGTGATTGTACTTGGAGAAGCGCCCGGCTGTGAGTCGCTGTCATCGCTTTTGTCAGACGATGGTAGCGCGTTTCCTGAGCACGTGCAGATTAACACAAAGGAAGACGTGGTCGCGCTGCCATTTTCAAGCGGCACCACAGGCCTGTCGAAAGGTGTTATGATGACGCACCACAATCTGGTAGCAGGGCTGGTCCTTTTGATGGATGATAATATCTTCCCTGACGACGCAATTGTTTTGAATCTCCTACCGTTTTACCACATCTATGCGCTGCTTTGCATGATGGGAGGGTGTTTAGAAGCTGGTTGCAAGTTGGTGCTTCTGTCTCGCTTTGAGCCAGTCTCTTTTCTCAAAGCAATCCAGGAGTACAAGGTTTGTTTCATTTAACCTCATGAGTAGCCCAGACGCAGAAACTCAGACACAGGTGATAAATTCAGCGCGCAAAGAGAGACCATTTTTGCTCGGGATAGATGAGATTACATGTTGTACTTGCCACTCTGTAATTCGCATCATAGCGGAGCTCCGGCGGCCCAAAGAGCCGCCAAGCGGAGCCCCATACTCATATAGGAAAGAAAAGGAAACCCATGAGTTAATTTTCTCATGGTTATCATGGCTAGTGGTATTGCTCGTGGGCGCGTACGCACAACGGCGATGACGAAGACGACGACGACGACGGAGTCGCGCAACATGGTGGCCATACTCCAAATAATAGGAGGACAGAGACATGCAGGCTTGGTTTACCGTGTACTTCTTTGATATTGGACATCTATGTTATGATCAATTGACACCTGTCAAAACAAGGTATCCACTGACCAGTATCACGTGACCATATCGCGGGCTCAAGTTTAGAGCTCATGGAGGCCACCTGTTTTTTTGAAGTTGACCAAGTGCTGGTTTTCACTTAGATCACGGGCTCATGTTAGGTTCAACTTGTTGAAAACAGGGTAGGATTGTTCGGAAGCCGGTTAACGCTAACCCAGGATTTAATTTAAGCGAATTATAACTTTTTCTTCTACTCAAATGTTGTTTTGCTGCTTTGTTTTGTATGTATGGTGATTATTAAAGCTCAAAACAGAAGGCCAAACAATATACAGAAAACCTCACCGCAAAGTTACATGAAATCAAAATTCTAACTTTTCATGGGTTAGCTTAATCCAGCTCTGAACAACTCGGCCCAGGAGCTACGATTTTAGGCTGGCCTAAATCTATATATTAATGGTTTACAGCTCTATATGGAAATCGTCCTTATTACATTGTTTATCAACGTATCTTTTCTCTCTGTAACAGGTCACAGATGCCCCTCTGGTTCCGCCCCTGATTTTGTTTCTGGCGAAGCATCCTCTGGTGGACAAGTTTGACTTGTCAAGCGTGGTGCGTGTAAACTCGGGGGCCGCACCACTTGGCAAGGAGCTGGAGACAGCAATGTTGAAACGGCTTCCGCAAGTGAAGAGAATACGACAAGGTAAGGATCATGACAGTTATCTTGACAATTTATTTTAGGTTAAAAGCATTAGCTTAAATTTCTACAGACACTGCAGAGATCAAGCCATTCATTTCATTTCATAACTCTCTGGTATATAGCGTTTTTTCAAACATCTCCGAGAAAGGGCACCCTTGGGACCAAAACAGGGGTCCACTTAAATGAGGGGCACGCTGGTGGGAGAGTAAAAATGTATTGTTTGTTAGTGATTGGGGCCATGACGGAGTGTCCGTTTACGGGACCTGTACTTTAGCCGAGGCTCAGCTGCAACACTTAGTATAAGGGGAAGGGGTATCTGAATAGGGTTGCTGTAATCTCAGTTATCAGATAAATTTTTGTCAATCTGTACCTATCAGTTAAAAATTTAGCCCATTTATCAGCTATCAGTGAGTTTTACAGACCTCAACCTCAGCTGTCAGTTAAGATACATGTCATTTCTCGGCTGACCGTGAAAAGTTTGAGCAATTCTCAGCAATCATTTAAAACCAATCCTGATACGCTCTACCTCCCACTGGAGACAACTTGACCGTATGGTTGGGGCGCCGGACGCCGAAATCCAGAGGTCGCGGATTCAAGTCCCACCCTGACCACTTAGCTGGAGTTGTTTCTCGGTAGACTAGTTCAACTCCTTGGTCGCTCTAGTTTATAACCAACTGGTCTGCTTTCCACCAGTTGGGTTTTTTAAGCCTATTATGTTTATTTGAAACATTTATTTCCTTCAGTTTAAGTTGCATGCCTGAGAACTAGCTAGGTGTAGGTAAGCGCATCGACCACTATAAATATTCAACATTACTTTTAACCAAGGTCCTGGCCTCACACAAACACTTCATTTTTAATTTTCTATAAGCAGATACCTCTCATCAGAGGTCGTTTTCTCTGTACCCTTGCAGAACATTGAACTTTTTTTTAATTTTAACAACACTCTTCAATTCAGGCTTCGGTATGACCGAGCTCTCTGGAGCATCTCATTGCACGCCATTCGAAGGAAAAACCAAATCTGGGTCGGTGGGTCTACTGTTACCAAACCTGGAATGTAAGGTGAGCGCACTTGAATCTATTGTGATCTTACAGCCTCCAGGAAAAAGAATACATTTACAACCCGGTGGGGGGGACTCCCATATAGAAAGGAGGGGGTGCTCGTCGCCCCTTTTAGGGATTAAAAGAGCGGTTTTGGTACCTCCTCAGGTGATCAGGCTCGAAAGGTCCACAGCGGGAACTTTTGCGGGAACTTTTATTGAACCGAAAAAAACTATGGCGGGAGAACCATAATGTGCTGTTGTAGAATTGATACCTCTTAGGGGTGAAAAAAATTCAAGCCACGCCCACGGAACAGGAGCCTGGTGCTTCTTAAGGGTTCTTTTCAAAATTTCCGACGAGCANCCCCCCCCCACCCCGAGATTTGCAAAACTACGTACATGGTTTCTACGTCACAATTTCGAATCTTTAAAAGTAGATTTAAAAATTGGACTCCACGATGTGGTCTGGAGACTAACCATCAAAATGAAAAAAGTTATAAAGTAATGACTTAGACGATTTAACACTCAAGCGCCAAAGAACTGCAATAATTATTTCAATCATTAACATGCAGTTAGCTGTAAGCTACACATCACTCAAACAGATGGAACACATGTCTCAACTAAGCACAGATAGAGTCCCATTGGAAACAGCTTACATGACGTATTTATTGGAGTAGGTTGTCAATCCTGATACTGGAGAAATTCTTGGACCAAATCAAGACGGGGAAATCTGTGTGAAAGGACCGCTCGTCATGAAGGGTGAGAAATGTCTGATAATACACTTAGTATATATGTGTCATAACTGCCATTTTGTAGTTGTTGTTGTTGTTGTTTTGTTCGGAAATCATATTCATCCAATTTCTGTTACTTTCGCTCAGTTTTCGTGGTGATTACAATCAGATCAAAATAAGCTGCGTCCTGAAATTCTCCCTGTGGCGATATTTTTTCATGTTAATAATACAACTAAAGATCTATTGGCTGGACAACATAAAAGTAAACGTCCATGCAGACAATATTTTAGCGAAGAGTCCTGTATATATCCAAGTCTTTGTGTGAATTACAAGTGCAATAGCTCTGCCCAGTTCCTTCTATGCACCCTGCCCGCAGTGCATCATGATGGTTATATTCAACTAATCAAGTCTAGGATGATTTTAGTCTTATTCAACGGTTTATTTTACGACACGGAGTAGGGCACGTAGTTCTCGGTCTTGTGGTCTGGCCTCTTCTCACGGGTTGGTGCTTCACATAGGGTTATCCTCATTGCGCCTTTCCTCCTTGGACAAAATTGTCCAAGAAAAATTGCAATGACCATGACTATGACTATGACTTAAGTGGTCGTACATGAAATGCCCGACCCAGCTACGAAAAACTGAACGACCGCTTACTAGAGGAAACTTGGTGTAGAATTGCTCTTTATAATGCATGGTGGACGTATATTCTTATTCTGCGCTCCACGCCAGTCTTCCAGATCCTGTACGCAATGTAATGTGGTTGGTTCTCTCTGCAGGTTACATAAACAACCCAGAAGCGACCGCCAAGACAATCGACAGTGATGGCTGGCTCCACACAGGAGATATTGGACATTATGATAAGGATGAATATTTCTTTATTGTTGATCGATTGAAAGAACTCATCAAGTACAAAGGATTTCAGGTACTTCACAGGGATTGCGATCGCCACTGAATTAAGGTGCTGTTGTGATGTATATGGAGGCGCGGTGGCCTCGGGGTTAGTACGCTCGTCTCCTGATCGAGCGGTCCGCGTTCAAGCCCTGGCCAGGGACATTGCGCTGTGTTCTTGGGCAAAACACTTTACTCTCAGTAAATTGTGTTGGTTACAAAATTATCACGAGTTAGTCCGGGATAAAGAGGTTAAGTTTGTGTGAATTTGCTCTTTGAGGCCAAGATTTATAGTCTGTTGCTCGTATTGGGGAGGGTCCGTATCAAAGTGGACTTTTTTGTAGAGAATATGATCATTTTGCCTGGACCAAGGGAACTATCCCTAACAGATAGGTGTCCGTATTTGAGAAGTGTCCATAGCAAAGAGGTATCCGTTACAGAGAGGTGTCCCTTAGGAGAGATTTGGCTGAGTTTGTTTCTCTCTATTTGTTTGTCATAGAAAATCTGAACAGCCTGATTTGCGCAAAATAAAAAAACCTTCATAGTCATCAGTACCGCTTGAAATGCTACCTCATGCGAGCAAGCTGTCTTGAACAGTGCCTGCGTTCTCGGAGAAAAACCTTCGACTTAAGGTGGCTAAGAACCTTTTCTTCTGTTCACTACAGGTTCCTCCAGCTGAGCTCGAAGCATTATTAATTTCCCACCCGAACATCGATGACGTGGCCGTGATCGGCGTCCCCGATCCCGAAGCCGGCGAGCTTCCGAAAGCTTTCGTGGTGCGTCGTGGAGATGTGACGCCAGAGGAAATTATAGAATTTGTGGCCAAGAGAGTATTACCACAGAAAAAGCTCAGGGGTGGGGTGGAGTTCATTGAACAGATACCAAAATCTCCAAGTGGGAAGATCTTGCGACGTATGCTTAGAAATCAAGAGAAAGAACGGCGTAGAGAGGCCAAACTGTGAAGACGCTGGACGTTTTAATGAAGTTAACGTAATCGTTGAATCAAAAGCTCGTTCCCAGGGCCTTTCCGTTAGAGTTTATTCTCTAAGGGAAGGCCCTGGGAACGAAGTTGGTTGAATTAATGATCGTTCTCTTTGCTTAAAGGTTCAACAGCTATTATATTTACACTGTACCTAACAGACTTGTCAAAGATCAGGAAATGAGATGATGTATATGCGAGTCAGAGTGTCGACAACCCGGAGTTATGCAAGTTAAACGTGAAATTGTAAAATTACATGCCAAATAAGAACTTTTTAGGTAACTGTACTTGTTATTTTGCAATTTTACGGTGTCGGTGATCAATGTAATAACAGTTCTTGTTTTGTAATCGTGAATGACAAAAAGAGAGACACTGATTTGATGTATCTCGCTGCAGAATCAGAATTAAATTAGCCCATGCAGGGTGCAGGCTAAACGAGGTTGTAAAGGTTAAAAGGGCCCGTAAAATGAAAGACTTGCAGCCATCGAACAGAACAGTTCAGATGTCAGTTCAAGTCTATTCTGCAATGTAGGTTTTTCCGCTGAGTGAGGCGCGGTTGCTGTCATTTAGCCCCACTCCTACCCGCTAGGACGCTTTTGCCTACCTCCCCAGCCCTCCCCTGTTTTTGTCAAAACAGTTAGCTCCTGTTTATTGCATGAATTAAGGTCTTGCAAAACCACCAACAGACAAGTTACCGCGCCCTTAAAGGAGAAAATTTAAAGATGTGGGTTAATACTGTTGAGAAGATAAGCCCCTTAGCGAAAATCCAGTCTGAGTGACTATTCTACCGTGACGTTTTCGGCTCAAACATACTTGACATGGAAACGGAAGTATGGTAGCGAAAAAAGAAGATTACACGGATAAAGAGGGGAAAAAAGGAAAGGGAAGGATGGGGTGTGGGGCCGGGATCAT